TGGGGACCAAGATCAATTGCAAATAGGCATGGGGATATTTCTTGAGTATTAGAAGTGTTCCAAAACTGGATTGTAGCAATCACTGTACAACTGTTTAAGTTTGCTAAAAATCATTCAACTATATACTTACAATGGGTGAATTTTATGTTATATAAATTATACCTCAGTAAAAGTGTAGAAAAAAAAAAAAAAAAAAAAACTGGTAAACTGTATCTTCAGAGGTGAATGGCACACCCTGAGGTACAAAACTTAAATCTCTTGTTTGCGATAAGCAAATCAGTGTGTGCCAGCAGTGACTGATAGCTTCCCTGGATCTCATTTCCTTTTGGGAAGACAAGGAGGTTGGAGGTAGGATTAAATGGGGGAATTACAGACAAACTCTATATGCGTAAAACAATTTATTGCTGTTGTTTTGCCAGAGGGGAAGAAATGAAACTTTGCTTTGTGATTTCTGCCAAAATTGCCTATCTCTGCACAGAAATACAGGTTAAAAATAAACACCAATAAAATCCTGTGTCATTAATAGAATTCCTAATAACTTAGAATTGAGAGTTGGCAAACTATGGCCTCTGGCCAAATCTAGCTCCCAGATTGTTTTTGTCTGACCCACATGATAAAAATGATCTTTATTATTTTAAAATGGCTATTTTTAAAAAGAAGATGATGATAATGTGAGATTTTATGTGGCCCACAGAGGTGAAAATACTTGTTGTCTGGTTCTTTACTGAAAAAGTTTGCAGACCCTTGACTTAGAACATGATTGTGGCCTGTATTAGGTAGGGTTCCACAGAGAAACAGAACCAATACAGTGAGTGTATGTGGGGGGTGGGGGGGTGTGTGTATGTGTGTTGGGAGCAGGGGAGATTATAAGGAATTGGCTCAAGTGATTATATAGCCTGACAAGTCCCGAGATCTGCATTGGGCAAGCTGGAGACCCAGGAGAGTATATTTTGTAGTTCCAGTCCCAAAGCTTGGCAAGCTTAACATTCAGGAAAAGCTTCTGTCTCATTTCAGGTCTGAAGGCAGGAGAAGCTGATGTCACAGCTGATGTTCCCCCCTACTATTGGTGCAGTCAGCCTTTTTGTTCTGTTCAGGTTCATCACATGGGACTCACATACATTAGGGAGGGGGGTCTTCTCAGTATGCCAATTCAAATGTTATCTTATTAAGAAGCACCCTCACAGACCTACCCAGAATAATGTTTGACCCAATGTCTAGGCACCTTGTGGCCCAGTCAAGTTGACAATCACATGGCCCTTTTATCCCTAAAAACCTGTGAATAGATCCTCTAGGAGCAACTCACCTTCATCAAAGTTGAGTCATCAAGAAGAAACTAGCACAGTATCTCTACAAACATACAAAAAAGGAAGAAAGGAGTAGTATTAAATAGCAGATGAGACCATTTATCAGAAAAAAAAATGTAGCTATGAAATAAAATAGTAAGCAAATATTTTTTCATGTGGTTTTTTTTTTTTTTTTTTTTGAGATGAAGTCTCACTTTGCCACCCAGACTGGAGTGCAGTGGTGTGATCTCTGCTCATTGCAACCTCCGCCTCCCGAGTTCAAGCGATTCTCCTGCCTCAGCCTCCCAAGTAGCTGGGATTACAGGCATGTGCCACCACCCATCTAATATTTTTATTTTTAGTAGAGACGAGGTTTTGCCATGTTGGCCAGGCTGGTCTCCAACTCCTGGCCTCAGGTCATCCACCTACCTCGGCCTCCCAAAGTGTTGCAATTACAGATATGAGCCACCACACCCAGCCTTTTTCATGAATTTTCTAAAAACTTAAAGCAAGAACTTTTTGCTTCTGTGACAGAATAGCTTACATCCTACCACCTCACCAAGAAGAGCTATAAAGCTTAATTTTAAAAATAATACTATATGAATACCACTTATAGGATTCATCTGTAAGAAGTCATTGGAGTGACAACAAGGAAACCAGGACTTTACTGACCAAGATCCTAAAGGGAATAATAGTACAGAGCAGTGAGCCCAACATTTAGTGCCACTTTTCCTCTTTAGGCATTTGCAGATATGAAAGCAGAAAAATCTCAGAATCTAGGAAGTTGAACATGGTATTCCACAGTTTTACAAGGCTGGAGAGAGAAAAATGGAAGTGCATTGCCTATCAAGTTGCAGGATCCTTAGTAAATAATTCAGACTTTCAGTTCAACACACTGAAAGCCTACATTTTAGGATTAAGGGTGAGTGAGAAAGATAAGTCCTCAGTGACTGAAACCCAGCCTCCAAGATCTATCTTTACTCTGATTGCCTACCAAAAGTAAAAGTAAATAACCTCTGGAGGAAGATATTATCTAGAGTCTTAAAATTATCTAAAATTTTTATACATGATATGTGGCATGCAGGGAAAAAATTACCAAGCATATCAGCAAACACAACCAAATCATTGAAAACCAAGAGAAAAATTCAACAGCAAAAACAAAATCAGAAAAGGGAAAATGAAAACCAGGCAGTCAGTAGAAACAGACCCACAGGAGTTCCCAGTATGAAATTGTTATGAAAGGATTTTAAGATAATTGTGTAATTTGTTTAAGAAAGTAGACATATGAAGAATTTCAGCAAACAACTAGAATCTTTACAAAACTGTCAAATAGAATTTCAGGAGCAAAAAATAAAATAACCAAAAGACTCAATGAACGTTTTAACAGATTGGAGAGAAACAAAGAAAAGGACTACATATGTTTAAAAAAAAACTTAGACTAAAGTGTACTCAGGGATTCAAAAGAATAAAAAATATAGAAAGGAGGATATAAGACATAGAGGATGTGATGAAAAGTTGTAACATACAAATAATTGGTTTCCCAAAAGGTGAGAAGAGAGAGATGGTGGCAGTGCGATATTCGAAGAGTGTTTATGGCCCAGAATTTTTCCAAACCTGTGAGAAACATTTAGCCACAAATTCAAGAAATACCACAAACCCTAAAAGTGAAAGAATTAATAGAAATCAGACCCCAGTTAGACAAATCCTAGAAAAGCTGCCAGAAACCAACCAACATAAAATTCTAAAAGCAACCAGAGAAGAAAGACACATTTATGTTCAAAGGCGTGAAACTTCAACTGAAAACTGACTTCCCAACAGAAAAAATTAAAAATGGAATTCAGAAGAAAAAGAATGTCCTAAAAATGCTATAGTAAAATAACTGCCAAGTTACAATGTTATTTACAGCCAAAAATGCCTTCCGGAAATGAAGGCAAAAATTCAGAATGTAGAAAACTGCAGGACAACCTACATTCCTTTTTTTTTTTTTTTTTGAGACGGAGTCTTGCTCTGTCACCCAGGCTGGGGTGCAATGACATGATCTCTGCTCACTGTAACCTCCGCCTCCTGGGTTCAAGCAATTCTCCTGCCTCAGCCTCCCGAGTAGCTGGGACTACGTAGGCGCATGCTAATGTCCGGCTAATTTTTTGTATTTTTAGTAGAGACAGGGTTTCACCGTGTTACCTAAGATAGTCTCGATCTCCTGACCTCATGATCCACCTGCCTCGGCCTCCCAAAGTGCTGGGATTACAGATGTGAGCCACCACGCCTGGCCATGACAACCTACATTCTTCATGTCAAAAGAAAAATAAAGGTGTTGCAGGGAAACCTGTAAATAAAATAGACTTAAAAGACATATTGGGCCAAGCGTGCTGGTTCATGCCTGCAATCCCAGTAGTTTGGGAGACCATAGCAGGCGGATGGCTTGAGCCCAGAAGTTTGAGACCAGCTTGGGCAACATGCCGAGACCCCATCTCTACAAAAAATTTAAAAAATAAAAAATTAGCCAGGTACTAATTTTTTTTAGCTGTAATCCCAGCTACTTGGGAGGCTGAAGTGGGAGGACTGCTTGAGTCCAGGAGGTGGAGGTTGTAATAAGCTGAGATCACACCACTGCACTCCAGCCTGGG